CCTTGGAGGGGTCACTCTGGGACAGATCTGCTCAACACCAGTGAAGTGCTGTCTTCACTCTGTAATAAAGACAGACCTACTTTCTGCTTTTTTTCATCCATACGAGGCTTTCTCACAAGCTTTCATACGAGGCTGCTTTTCTGAATCTAGAGAGATCCCCTCTTCCCTAGCTTCTCTCACAGCATAGTTTTAATTAAGCTTCTTCATTATCAGCTCCAAAAATAACTCCTTTCCTCCTACCGGAGAACTGCCCTCAGTACTCCTTGCCCTGAATTCACCCGGTCCACTCTTTCTGGACTACAAATCTTCAACAATATGGTAAATTCTCCTCAAAGGCAACAGAGAATGGATGCAAAAGAGCCACTGGACATTAGGCAAATTCACTCTGCTGGTTCAGATGCAATAAAACATATTTTATGGATTAATCTGACACTTTTTTTATGTTCATCTTTGCATAGCCACCATCAAGTCTTAATGAACAAGCGATACCAAGATCCAAGCAAGCTTGCGTTCAACAGAAAAATAGTCCTGTGTCCATCCATCACCTGGCTTAGGTCTGCAGAGGTGGCTGACCTGGGAGTGCCTTGGTCTCAGCACCAAGGCCTGGGAGAATTCATGCTTCACAGAAGAAGGTCTTCCCCTGTATTACAGGCTTACAGTTTGGCCTGTGGAAACTTACACTTGGTGGAGCAACTTCTGCTTTTTTACAAGCACCACCTTTGGTTTGCTTTCCTCTCAAGGGTGCAGGGAAGGGCCAGCACCCCAGAAATGCAGGCTGACTGGTTGTACCTTGAGGGTTTGGCCTCAGCCCTCTGAAGTAGGGCAGTTTCATCACCCTAATAAGGGGTGGACTGGACCACTCCTTAGTGACAATATCTGAACTCTTCAGAGCAGACTATGCACAATGATTAACAGAGTATGTCATTCCACTTGCAAAGCTATTGATGATAGGTTATCATTCTTCAAACATGCATTTATGTAGGAGAATTTTTAGCTACCTGTAGTTTTATAGCTTCCCCAACCTTTGACCACGCAATGCTTCAGCAATTCAATAAAAACGACTGCTTCAGCAACAACTGAAGATAGGAAGTAAAAAATAATCAATGTGCTTTCAAGACCGAAGTACTCAAGAGTGGAATAAAACAATCTGTATGCTCACAAGGTGAACCTAGAAAGCTCTCACGGCAGCCTTACTGAAAAAAATAAAAGCACTGACTAAATAGCTGTGCGGGGATCAGGACTCTTTAAGGGAAGCCAAGGAGGCACTACCGAGGCAGAAAAGTAGGTCTGCTCTTTTTAAGCAAGATGAGAAATCTGACACTGCAAAAATTTGCTCCACAGTAACAAATTTTTGGCAGGAACATGCCATGCCAGTGCTTCACCTTTCACTCCCATTGGCAGAGCAGAGCCATCACAGCCGCCCTGTGAAACACCACACGCGCACCACGACTTCTAAGGCCCTGCTGTGACTTCCACCAAGGAGCCAATGCCAATAAAAAACAAAAGTCATTTTTTAACAGGGATTAGTTCCTCAATCTGGCTCATTACTTCTGTTAGCTGAGTGAGGGGATAGTTCTGTGATGTTCAAGGGAAGGAAAGTCCAGAAGCAAGAGGCCACATAAAGAGCATCTCCAATTTGTAATGAGAACAGCCTCTTGATCAAGATTCTTCCTTATGTAAAAGAACAGCTTTGCTCAAAATTACAAATAATTATGATGATGGGAGAAATGCCAAGGAAGTTGTGAGGAGAAATCAGGAGCAGCTTGAACACAAAAGGAAAGGGGACCATAAAAACCTAAGTAAGCTTAGGTTACAGACAAAAATTTGTTAAGCAACTTGGTGTTCCTTCAAGGAAGTCAGCTTAACGACCAACATAGTCTTCAACCATAACATGAAATACGAATATCTAGGAAAAACAAGTAAGTAAATTGCATATACAGTCCTTTCTTACATCCCAAAACTACCACGCATTGATCTATCACTATTCATCATAGTTGCCTAAAGCTTAAATTCAGTGGTATCATCATTACAAAAATGCACTGAACTGTAACATTTGCTATACTCAGCAGATGGTTAACATTTGCTATGGGATCTTCTGACTCCAATTTATGTCCTCTGACTAAGGTTAAGAAAAAGAGATGATTTTTACCAGCCCATCTCTTTCATGTCTTTACTGAAGAAATATATCTGACTTTAATTGTGTCCACCTGTACTCAAAAACGCAATCGATAAAACTGGGAAATTGATCTTCAGTGATTCCTAATAAAGAGTATCTGCTTATTCAATTCTATCAGTGTTTATAGGCCACTGAAAAATAATCATGGAGATGGAAGTATAAAAGAAAGAGCTTGTGTTCTGAACATGCCCTGTGCATTAAACTCTTTCTGAACACTCCTGCTTGAGCTCCATTCTGTAACAGTCTCATTAGATCAGTTTATGAGTCATTAATTCACCTTGTTAATTTATCAGAAAAGTTTTCCTCTGTAGCTTGCCAATCCTTCCTTGTTCAGAGAAAGGAGAAATATGGTACGGTTGCAACATCAGTTGCATTCCTATCTATGTTTACAATTGCTCTGTGGTTTGCCTTGCAAGTTTTCCTATCAGTGGCCCTGACCCTGTTTCTAAGACTTTTGAAATTCTGGGGTCCACATAGGACTCTTCAGATGGAGTGACAGAGTGCTGTGAGAAGATCAGCGTGAAATGCAGGAACAGTGCTTGAATCAAGGATGAGAAAAAGTCTCTCATGTAGGGAGTTTTCTCCAGTTACCCACAACTTGTGTTCTGACTTCTAGACACCAATGGCTATTTACCACTTTTAAAGGGAACTGAGGCATCTACAAAGAAGATAGAGATTCTCATCTGGTCTAGGCACATTCCTGTGAAGGAGAAAGAACTTTGGTTTCACATTGTGCAATTCACCACTTCATGTTTGATGCTTTAGGTAGCTGCAGACCGCTTTGCATCTTAATCTGAGACACCTTTGTGTGCCTTTCCACATATTACGCCAGAGCCTGGGGCCAAGCAACAGGCTGTAAATTCCACTCTGGCAGTCAGGACTCTACCAGGTAAGCACCACTCTGATAGTGCTGAAGTCCCCCCATGGATGTAGCTATCAGTGTATAATCACTGCCAGAAATATATTACTTTCAGCTGGCAAAGCTGCAGTAATAAATTCCACAAGTTATTTTTCTGTTAATTGTATTAGGAAATTTGCTGCTTACTGCTACTCTCTGTGCTCCCTTCGGGTCAGATTCGTTCCTTCTTGATATCAAGGCATTTGCAAGTCAGATTGTTCAGAGTAATAAGCTTTCCTAATGATTAAATTTAACACCATGAAATTCCAACATGTAGGACTGACAAAACTGGACTTTGGAAAAGTATTGACTTCTGTTTTTGTCTTTGGAAAAATGCTACAGACATCATCCCACATGCAGCTGTACTCTGGTTCATGCTGTTCATCTGTTTGTCTAGCTTTGTGATTATTGGACCAAAATAAATCACTATAGAGACAAATACTGTCATACAGAGCAAACTCTGAAATACTTTGGTTAAGAACATTAATTTTCTTACTGTTACTTTTCAGACTACCACTAGACAAAAATTAAAGCCAGTCTGTGCATTCCAAAGGTTACATATCCTTACAGAAATAAAAGATATAACTGCATGTTTGAAAAATAAAATATTTGAAGATTTACCTCCAATGCTGCATATGAAAATTATTTAGAGTCACTTATCCATGTTGAGTGATCAAAAAATTTCCTTCCATTACAGAAGAGCACCCAGAAATAAGAAGATAAGATGACCAGTCGTGCTTACAACAAAAGCCTGTGTCAACCTATATACCTGCATATGATAAAGACAGCCACATGCAAGGATAAAGGCATCAACTGGTTGGCAGTAGAGACTTGAGCCTTCTAAATCACATGGCAAAGATAAATTAGAACTATCTGCCACCTACATCAGATGGTGAAGGAGTCAGGAACACAATGCTCTGGATACCAATTAGTAGCATAATGGAGCCAGTATCTCATGTTCTAGTGTGTCAAATTCCAGCAGTGCCAGTGAGATCAGAACAGAAGTCACAGCAAGGTCACTGCAATCTGTCAGCAGGACAGCTTCAGCTAAGTACCACATCCTAATCCCTGTCTGCTGAGAATTTACCAGAGGAGAAGTGCTGGTAGTTAAAATGAACCTAAAACAATATTTACCAAAGGCATCAGGCCGATAGATGACTTGTGCTGTACAGGACTGTAAAATGCAGCTTATTTTTAACTGTTAAATGAGCATGTTCTGTTTTGATACAGAAATATTCTGAAGTCTGTTTATTCACAGAAATGGCAAGGATATCAGCAGTGTGGCAGAGACAGTACAAACACCTTCAAATAACATACCACTTCATCCAGCCGCTGTTTGGAGGAGTTACTGATGTATGGAAAGATGGTTGTGCCCATATGCATCCCTTTAGTGGCTCACCCTCAGGAGTGAGTCAGTTCAGGATGCAGCAACTGTATTAACAAATACTGATGAACTCATCCTCCTAGCATCACTTGTCAGGCAGAGAAACAACACCCATGCTGGACAGTGCATGAAGCACAAAGCAAAAACTTTCTTGTATAATATTTTGCCAGAAGTAATTAATCAGAGCTTACCCATGTGTGTTAACAGTGAGGTCCCACTCCCAATGTCAGCATACTTTCATGCCCAGCCTGAGGCTGTTTGTAGTCACAGCAGGCAACTTAGCTGACAAGGAATACAATTTCTCCAGCACTCTCATAGTGCCAGGAAAGGAGGGTGAAGTGGCACACTTGAGCTTCAGTAGGGTGAACTGGGGTTGTTGCTTTGTATGTAGATACAATCCTCATGTGCTTCTTACAAAAATAAACAGTACTTTTTCATGTGCACTTAAAATCTTTGATGCTAAAAACAGTAGCTGCCCTAATTTAGTCAAGGTAGATGAAATGTAATAGAGAGAAGAACCCACTCCTAGGGATTAGAAGACACGTTAGTCCCATCTTTATTCTTTCTGAGGTCCATTGGCTCCTGTTTGTACATTCTACTATCAATCTTCTGTCTGCTCAGAATTTTTTTTTTAGAGGGACCTATTCCCAGGAAAGAAAATGGGAGATAATTTTAACTTATTCAGAACAGCTGTTGAGCAAAAGGAGATGAGTAGTCCAGTTACGTACTAGAAGACTGAAAAGACCAGTGGCAGTTTTGTTGTGCCATTTCCAGACTTCAGCAGGCTTTCAGCACAGTGTCTCTTGCAGGTAAGGTTTCACACTGCAGCTGGCTTGATCTAACAGTGTGCTGCTAAAATGGGTGGGCTGCCTCCTCTGCCATTCCTTTCTGTGTCTTGCTGCTCCATACCCTGCATGGCTTGGCAGCATAACCAAGCTGATCTGACTCACTAGATACTCAGAATACGCACTTTCTTGAGCTGCAACAGTTTTTTGTGAGCTCAGAGAACTGAAATGACCAAGATTAAGATAAGTGCCAAGCAAGAACTGTGCAGCTCATGGTGGGAGGAAGAGTAGAAAGAGAAATGAAAAAACTAGCTTTTTCACATAGTGGTGACCTTTACAATAGATGTGCTATGCTGTGAGCCCTCTTACACATTACAGTAGAAGAAAGAAGTCTATGAGGTGACACCTTCCATTGGTATCATGGAAATGTTTCTCTGTCTTACATTGAAGGACTTCAATTAATTGAGCGGCTGGTAAGGACTGCAAACCACAGAAGCAGACAGGATGTTTATCTTACACAAGAATTACTGCCTAGAAGCCTTAGCAGGTGAAAAATTCTCTTTTTCCTCTATACAAAGAAACTAATATCTATTGCAATAGTCTAGTGTGAGATAAACTATCGACATATTGTCTAAATAAGCAAGACAGTCAAGCAGGAAGGGACAGCGTGCAAACACATGGCCATTTAGATTTGATCAAGAAGTGAACAATGTTTTAAGTCTGTGTATAAATGCTTTCACTTTCAAAAAAAAATAAGCCACAAGTAATTTACTTGCTAAGAAGTGCTAATTTCCTTTTTTTTTTTTCCTCCATTTACCAGATATTTGAAGTGCACAAATGAAAAAAGGATTCCAGAAATAAATAGAAGAGAGTATTGCTTAAACTCCTGGGAGAGTCACTCTACCAACCTATAGCCCCAACTGTGGTCATATGGAAAACCAACCCAACAATTAACAACCACTTATCTTTTCTGCCACCTTGTATCTGAAATAAACCCTTTGAACAGTAGGATCAGAGCAAAGGAAGGAGAAAGGAGAAACGAACAAGGTAAGCTTACAAGATTACGAATATTCTTTACATTTCAAACTGTTTCCTTAATTAGGAATACAGACGGTTGTCTGCATCTTTCCTCTCTTTTTGCTCTCTGCAGCTCAGACCAACACTGGGCACCTGATGTGTTCCTGCAATCAAGCAACAGGCACGCAGACTTCTGGGTTTCTGAGGGATGCTTAGAATATAGGGAAGAATGAAAATGAAGAGATTATAGGCAGGTTGGGATAATAGATGCTAAGCAAAGCTTTTACGTCTCCCATATTTGGCCAATTATGCAAAGAGAGAATCTGCACAGGTAAGCAGCACGTAGGAATGAGTGTCAGAAGACTTCTCTGGGACAGTGTTACAAGACTGATTATCCCTTTATGTGAGTACGATCACCATATCCACCTGGCACTAACAGCTAATAAAAAAACATCCCAAGGTAGCTTTTAACAGAGCTTTCATGCGTGGCTCTGTCAGTTGCTTTAGGTGCAACAATGCATCCCATATAGAAGGGTAAAACCCAGGTTAAATACAGAATTAGCACATAACAAAGGAAGGACATCATGCTTGAATCTCTCCCAGTAGCTAAGTCTTCCCTCATTAGCAAGGCAGAGCAGTGATATTTCTGTCCAAGTGTTCAGACTAATTGAAAAGTGAGGCAATCAATTGCTAATTTCATAGCTTCTCTGGTTCCTGTAAAAATAAAACTTTGTCATGATCCATTCATTAGATTTCTCACCACACCAGCACAGATGACTCCTTATGCCATTGTACTTCCATAAGGAATTACAATCAGCAACACAGGAAGTCTAAGTAAGAGAGCATGGAAAACCATCAATAGCAGAGAGAGCACCACAGCGTAACAAACGCTTATCCACATGAGTGGCTCCCACCAGAGGAAAGATGTAATTTGTAGCTGCTTCAGTTTCAATTGTGGAGACTGAGAAAAAAGAAAGACTTCCTTCTTTTGTGCTGGAATCTCTTTCATGATGAAGCTATCAAATTCAAATACCAATCATTTGACAGGCTCTTCTTTAGACATACTCAGCAATTCATTTACTACTTAAAAGCCAGCTGACACTGCCAAAATGAATGAGGGTTTGGCAAATAACTTAAGACTAAGAATCTCCCCTCTAAATTTAGTGAGTGCTGTGTTCTATTGTTTATCACAGAGGACGTTTATTGGATGGACTAAAATCCCAATATAGTAGGAACATATTTAAACATAAAATGCCTACCATAAAGTTATTAATATAAACCTATTTTTGAGAAGCTAGGGAGACCAGACGAGAAAAACTTTCTGAAAATAATGGATGACTTCAGTGTGACACCAGCTGTGCGCAGGCTGGTATACAGTTACACCAGATACCTATTTTGCACAATAGGTCTCATGATAGGTAAGAGTGTGTTACAGGATGGATCCACATTAAATTGTGACAATTTTGGCTTCTGCACCATTAGAAGAAACTGCTCAGCTGATTAGAATTATGTTGTTTCTGTAAATCAATCCCTCACATGGGATGTTAAAAGAAAAATTATTTTGTGAGTAGCAAATGTAAGCACGCTGATCCATGCACAAGTATCCTGCTGGTATGTAAACGTCCCCCATGTTTCTACCATTAAAGCTCAGTCATGGGAGTGCAGCCAACTGCACTGACAGGTAAGCAGTGTAACTCCAATACAGAGCCCAGAAACATACCTGAAGATAGAGAAGTTTAAATCAAGGGCTGGGGACCAGGAATTCTCAGTTTTACTTCCTTTTCGAGCACTGCAAGGCAATAGGGCATATGGCAAGTCATTACAAACCATCATGCAAAGCCTCCTGGAAAACAAAGATAGCTCATTCACCTGAAAAAGAAAACACATAGAGTATCTACTCCAGAGAAGTACTTAGAACACTAATTAGGGAACTGTTCTTTTCTCTTATCTCCATTTCAGTCTACTCTCTTCATTATAGGATAAGTCCATCTCTAGCAAAGAGAATTTTACACATGAGAGAAAAAATATTAGAGCATAAACTTCACTTCCAAGTCATGGCCTTTTTTGCATTTTTTTGTTTTTTTTTTTTAAACCTCATAAGATTAACAGAATTCAATAATTCTAATCCATGGATGAAAGACTTAAAAAATACTCCAAAACATAACAGTCATACATTTCAGTGAATGAAACGAAGTGGAAAAAAATAGAAGACTCATCTATGCCTTAGTAAAGAGTGTCAGAAGCAAAGCAGCTATGAAAGAAAAGTAAAGAGAAGCTCAGTGACTAAAAATGGGAGCTATGAAACAGATTCTCAGCATATATGAACACTTCACCTTTCACGCTGAAAAAAAATAAATTATTTCAAGATACAGTTTTAAGCTGATTGTTGTTGTTTTAAAAAGAAGACCAAGCGTGGAGTATTTCCATCAGTAATAACCTTCCCATGTGAGCAAATGTATTTCTCCCTTAGTTTGCTGATCTGTCATGGCAATGCCAGCTTAAAAAAATTTCACCCACCAGCAGTTTGATCCTGTTCTCTGCTTCATGACAGTGCATGTTTGTGAGGTCCTGGAGTGAACAGGTTTTGGACTGACTGCACCCCCAGTCCCCGCCTAAACCCTGCTTTTTCTTCCAGATGGATCACCCCTCAGCTCCACAAATGGCAGATTGGGAGACTTCAAACTGTCAGAAAGATGGGGCTTTCTGGTGCCTAGAAAGTGCTCAAACAGCCCTGCCATCAAATGCCCTACTTCATGCACAATAAACATTTTATTTAAACATTAGCTGGCTCTGTCTCCCAGAGAAGTTGTTCCTGACATCATGGGTTCACCTGGTTTTTCCCATCCCATGTCTCCATTTCCTTTTGGCATAGAAAGATGTTTTTTCACAGCATTACAATGGACAGGAATGGGGAATTTGCCCAGCTGAAAAATAGATTTTGCCTTTGTTTTGCTCAAGTTAGTTCTTGAGGGATGTATCCCCCCCTTATTGCATGTACAAACATGAGTACACATGCCAGTGCCTAGGGACAGGAAACCACAGGGGTGGCTTCATTGGAGTCTGGCTTAGCCAGTTTACATGGCCACTGAATTAAAATCCTGTAAGCCCTAAAGCTATTCTTTGTAGCAATAGCCATACAGCCACTGTTTTGCTGTAACTGTGTACGCAACGAGAACACAATGGATCAAAGTAGCAACCCACAAATAAATAAACCACCTCTCATGTTTACTCCACTTAATTTGATGATTTCTTAATGTGATCTTCCACTCTGACAGCAGACACCTATGGAACCTTATCTCTCAGGGTCACTTGTAATTAATTTGATTCCTGTCAGCAAAGATGATCAGCTAACCCAGTCAAGTCAGCTATAACAGCTTCCTCAAGGAGACAGAATTTGCATGAAGCCAGAGAGGATGACCCGCCATTTTTTTTTTCTTTCTTTTTTTTTTTTTTTTTTTTTTTGTCACAATCTCTTTAAAATCTAGAAAGAAGGGAAAAATTTCCTAATATGCTGATAGAGAAGACCACTCAGGAGAGCCCTTCTATCAACCTGGCATGTCAAAGCACCAAGAATTAGCAAGGGCAAAGTGGATGCAATGCTTCATGGCTGATAGAGAAGTCAGTCAGTCCAAAAGCAAAGAGGAGAAAGACAGAAAAGGCACTCGTTGATCTAGCCTAGGCAATGAGAATTTGAAATTATAAGAGGGATAATTTTTCATGATCTTAGGAAAGAAACAGTTCTCTGTGTTGGGCAAACAGGACAAACAGCACTGCCATTGCAGGGCAGATAAGTGGACAAAGCACTCAGCGCTGGTACAGAGCCTGCTGCTTGACCCAAACCAGGCTGTGAGTCTGAGGCTTCATAGCCAGCCATGATGCTGTGCCGTGCTCTATGTGCCCCACACAGCCCTGCCCCCCCGCTCTGCCTTCACATCAGCAATAGTACTTGTGCAGCCAGGGGCTCAATTGTAACAAGCGGATGATCCAAAGTAAGGCTCATCCATACATCTTCATGGCATGACCACTATTTTCAACAGCAATGTGGTCTTAAGCTGACTGTGAAGCCATACCTGACTCTACAACAGATGTCTGAACATCAAAAATGGCCAATCATATTTACAACATAAGTGCAACTTACTCTTCCACTGCAAGGAAATGATCTGGGGTTTTAAAAACCAGCAGGCTGCTTGTTTCTGTAATTATATCTAATAATGGTATGTTTCTCCTGTCCTAAACCCTGCTGATCTGAAAGAGCATACTTCCAGACACCTACCAAATGACTGATTAATCCACAGCCCAACTGAGGGAAATATGTGAGCAAGTTGACGGTGAGCGCCAGTTTCAGAGAGGGGTCACTGTGGAAAAGAACACTGGGAGGAAGAACGAAATTTGCTCAAGCTCTCTCAGAGCCCTAAACATCTTTTTCAAAATATTTGAGTTTAAAAAAAAAAAAAAAAATCCATTCTGTTAGCTCCAAACACACTGCTGCTGCTGAGCCCTGGGAGCCTTCGGGGTTAGTGAAGAGATACAACAGCAAACAGGGAGCCAGCGTGTGAGTCCTATGGGAGTCTACAGTTAGCCTGCTCTCTCAGAATTCTTCACCAGAATAAGAACTGCCAGGGCACAGTGAATGAGGACCAGAAGGCTTTAGGAGAGGAAGCACCTCTGCCTCCTGGAACCTGGGGAAAAATAAATATGAGTGTGCACCTTTCAACAGGGAGATTTTCCTCATCTGTGTGCGAGAGCAGAGGTTATCAGTCCCCCTCTGTTGTGTCACTCTTTATTTTTAGCAATAAAGAAAAGATTACTACCCATCAGCTGTTTAAAACATGGGCAGTTTTGCAATCTCTCCATGCAGAAACACATCAGCTGAGTTCTAGTACAAGCTGGTAACTGCCAACTGCATCCACACCTATTCCTTACGGGCACTGACACAGTAGTTTCCTACACTGCTTTCTCCTCTCAGTTTTCACTGAAAGTTAGCCCATTTTTGTGACAAAACAGCCCAGCCCAAATTCTAGTGGACAACTGACCATGAAATTAAAAGCTTCAGCTGCAACTAATGCTAGCTGTTTCCAAAAACAAAGTGAGAGAGGAGAGTGATGAGAGGAAAAAAAAAATAGAGGGTAAGAGCAGAACCTGCCTTCAGAGACCTACCAGGTAGCACCTACCCCTACCGGTTCCTGCAGCCACTCACTTAGAAGCAATGGCCTGCAGAGGAGACTTCAGTTTCAGCCAGCAAAAAAACAACTGCTCTGCAGACTTAGGGACTGATAACAGTACCAACGACTTCACAGCTTCATGACCTGTACTGTTATTACACAAACCTTAGATCTGGTAATCTTGCTGGGCTGGGTTCAAAAGCCAAGAAGTATGATACAAGCAAAGGCTTCACCCCTTCCTATTTGCAGTGACCTTTCTTGTATTTGAAGACTGTTATCATACCTCCCTTCAGCCTCTTAAAGCTGAACAAACCCAGTCCTCTCAGTCTTTTATCACAGACTTTTGATCATTTTTATTGCATTCAAGTTGACCATAGTTCTGAAAAATACCTTTAGTCTAAGGAACTGTTGCAACAGATATATCAGTGTGCTTCACCAACAGAGCAAAAACCTTAAACAACCTCTAATTTTACTTCCAAACAAGCTGTGTAGAAATCAGGACTGCTTAGTGAAACAGATCTTCCTGTGCTTTGTAACAGCAACTCCACAATGCTGTGCTGCTGCAGTACCAAGTCAAGGCTTCCAGGCAAAGGACTTTTACCAGGAGAGAGAGAGAAGAGTCTAATGCCTTTAACATACTGCAAATGAAAATGTTTTACATGTCTTTGAACCCATGAAGATGTGAGGTTAATAACCAGCTATGAATTTCTTACCATAAGGGTCTGAAGTGGTGTTTAAAAAAAAAGATAGAAGGAAATAAGGTGGCCAAGTCAGTCTATCTGTGCTGAGGTAGGAGATGACACAGCTTGTCACCATGAATGGACTTTGCATGTTTCCAGTGGATTGTTTTCCACCATGTCATTTACTGTTTCCACTAAGCTAAAAAAAAGATCAACCTACTCACATGTGGAAAGAAGCCACAATCACATCTCACATTACTGAATAAAATATTATTGTTGATATTTTATGGCTCAGTGTGTACTGCGGAATACAATGGGTTCACATAACAGGGCTATACACTTGATTTAAAGCTGCATAATATACATAAAACTCCTTACATAGCTACCTGACAGTTAGAAACACCAACCAGCTACTTCTGCAAACTAAAATTCAAAAACAAAACAACAGGAGAAATGCAATTCTGGTAGCTGCTGGAAACGAAATCTTTATCCAGAGCCCTTCCAAGATGCCTCTGAAACAGGAATTTGTAATTACTTAGATTTGTCTGCTTACATCCTGTAATCCAGACACATACATTAAAGATGTAACTTCCTTCCAGTTTGGTAGGAAACAACCAGTGTTATCTTCTCAGAAACCTCAAAGTATTTAATTGCAGGAGAGATCTATATTTTGCAGCACCACCAGCTCGGAGGGCAGGGAGAGGTTGTACAGAAGGTCACAAGCAAATTTTATTTACTGAACAAATTGGCCTGTTCCTAAAATTTTAAGCAAATAAAGACGTGCCCCTTTGAACGAACACTTACATTTTGTTCATTCTAGCAAAACCTGCTTATGTCAATACTTCTATTTTCAGTGAATAGCCACTGGACTGAAGAAGGAAAAGCAGAGCCCATTTTTTAGGAGGGCTAGAAGGAAAACTACCTTGCACCTGTAGGAAATACAACAGAAATGATACAGCTGTCACTTTGACGGGACTTTGGATACTGTCTCCCACAACAGTCCCATGATCAAATGTGGGAAAGTCTAGTTACAGATTTTGTATGAGAAATGCAAAACAAATTGAAAAATGTATTCAAATTGTAATTTTCAAAGCTTCCTTATGGCTCTATAGAGTGTGTTAGATAGCCTTGTGTTAGACAGAGATGCATTGGTATTATCCTGTATTTTCATTCCAAGACAGCCAGTCTTGGCTGACAAGGTAGTGCAGATCCTTTTTTAAGGAAAACAAGCTGCAAGGTGTTGCAAGCCTCAAAGTAGAAACAAACAAAACACAAAATGGCCTTGAAAAACTGCAAGATACACAATACCTAATTCAGTAATTGTAAGTTCAAAGTGCTACGCTCGGGGATAATTCACTGCACAAATACAGGGTGAGGAAAGACTGAGCAAAAACTCTGCAAAATAAAAGCTGGGAGTATAGGAAATCACAAATTGAACATGAAACGATCTACTGCCATGACAGGAAGAGCCCCACAACAGTAGCAAGTTCATCCTCAACAGCGTGGATAATCCTAGGCATCCACCATTTTTCTTAAAGCTGCCTTCTGACACAGGCTCCTCTAGGACCTGCAATAGTTGGAATCGCTTAAAAAGGAAAAGTTC